ATCAGTACTGGTGGTTTGTTACTGAAATGAGACTGTCAGTGACTGCTCAATTGTTGCTCAGTTGCTGACAGTCACGTATCAGTACTGGTGGTTTGTTACTGAAATGAGACTGTCAGTGACTGCTCAGTTGCTGTCAGTCACGTATCAGTACTGGTGGTTTGTTACTGAAATGAGACTGTCAGTGACTGCACAGTTGCTGACAGTCACGTATCAGTACTGTTGCTTTGTTACTGAAATGAGACTGTCAGTGACTGCTCAGTTGCTGACAGTCACGTATCAGTACTGGTGGTTTGTTACTGAAATGAGTCTGTCAGTGACTACTCAGTTGCTGACAGTCACGTATCAGTACTGGTGGTTTGTTACTGAAATGAGACTGTCAGTGACTGCTAGTTGCTGACAGTCGCGTATCAGTACTGGTGGTTTGTTACTGAAATGAGTCTGTCAGTGACTGCTCAGTTGCTGACAGTCACGTATCAGTACTGGTGGTTTGTTACTGAAATGAGTCTGTCAGTGACTACTCAGTTGCTGACAGTCACGTATCAGTACTGTTGCTTTGTTACTGAAATGTTCAAATGAGACTGTCAGTGACTGCTCAGTTGCTGACAGTCACGTATCAGTACTGGTGGTTTGTTACTGAAATGAGACTGTCAGTGACTGCTCAATTGTTGCTCAGTTGCTAACAGTCACGTATCAGTACTGGTGCTTTGTTACTGAAATGAGACTGTCAGTGACTGCTCAGTTGCTGTCAGTCACGTATCAGTACTGGTGGTTTGCTACTGAAATGGGACTGTCAGTGACTGCTAGTTGCTGACAGTCACGTATTAGTACTCGTGCATGGTTTGTTACTGAAATGAGACTGTCAGTGACTGCTCAGTCGCTGACAGTCACGTATCAGTACTGGTGCTTTGTTGCTGAAATGAGACTGTCAGTGACTGCTTAGTTGCCTACGGTCACGTATCAGTACTGGTGGTTTGTTACTGAAATGAGACTGTCAGTGACTGCTCAGTTGCTGACAGTGACTGCTAGTTGCTGACAGTCACGTATTAGTACTGATGGTTTATTAAGGGTTCACCGTCTTGTTTTACACAGCAGAGACTGTGGTTTTCTAACGCATTACCTTTTGAATGAATTCCTGCAAATAAATGACCATGGATTTTATTCAATAAATCAAACACTACCTTTCCGTGCCATCAAGCCTGGACTAAGGCATCTAATACAATTTTAGTGCGGCAAAACAAAAATATCCTGGATGAGGAAATTTGTCTAATACTGACATGTCCTGCCATTCCCTAACACATTTTTCTCAACATACCGTACTTAAAGGTTTTGAAATACATGTAGCCCCAAAACAAGCTACATGTACTTCAGGAGTCCTTTTGTACCAGCCAGAACAAGCCTAAGATACGAAACAAGCAACCATTTTCCGTCAGCGACATTGTATTTTTGCCTCAAAGATATCAATATGCTATGGGATAACTTAATTGAACTTTTTGCAATAAAAATGACCGGAAAATCAACTTTTAAAATCAAATTTTGCTGCCGGCCTGACTTCTAAAGTACTACAAACAATTTACTATACTTCAACAACTGAAATGTCTGAAAAAGTTTCGAATCACAATGGATGGGCCCTATTAAAACAGACCCAACGAATAGGACAGGTTTACATCGAATCTTTACTACGTTAGTAGTTACGATAGTTTTATGGCAGCTATTTACTACTGCCCCGAGGTACGGCTTTAAGTTACAGTGATAACGTAGAAGAATGGTCATAATTCTCATGCATGAAACAGTCTGTTACATAGTAGATGGAGCGTCTCTGACACTCCTATATCGTGTTAAGGCGTAGGTAAAAAGTTGTGTTTCCTGTTTCCCGGCCGACCCTAGCAAAAACGACCGACCCTAGCAAAAACGACCGACCCTAGCCTTTTATTAATATTCCAAGCAAATTCTGTGGGGCAATGGAAGTCTCTATTGGTCTCCTGTAACCATTGGTCACCGTGGTATGGTATAGTGAATAGCACACTCTTCATTATTTTTACCGAAGGAAAACATATTGTTTTTGCTCAGTTTCCTCTTCCTCTTCTTCTCCAAACACTAACCTCTGACCTGGCCAATGACCTGATTTGTTGACGTTTGTCACTATGGTAACTGGTGTTGGGTTACAAAATGTTGCAATCTTATAGTAGGAGGGATTAAGACTCCTGTCTGACCATATATATGAATGTACATTGTATTTTAGTACGAATTAACAGCAGACCATATGCGAAGGTAAACATTATGGATCATTTTCTTTTTATTTTACATTTTATTTACTTTGCAAATGTTACTTTTGTATAGTTTTCTTTTTTTTCACATTTTTTTTTCTTTTCCTCTGGAATTCTCAGACATTAGTATCGTTTTGGCGGTTTTTTTCTTTCTCTTCACAATTTACGGCATATATTTGCTCATTTTGCAGTTGCTTTGTACGATTGAGAGTATGGTCGAAAACTTTTTGTTTGGAAAAACGGGCGAAAATTCATGCGCGCACGGATGTCATCCACATATTAATCAGATTACCTTACATGTATACCACTAGCCTCTACGGTGTGTACTTTACTTTCCTTGTTTTTAATCATAAGGCCACACCAAAAGTAAATTTTATGGCTGACGTCCTTTGGAGACCCTATATCTAATGCGAGAGGGCGAAAAAAAACAAGAAGGGCCCTAAAAAACAAGATGCCTAGATTAGAAATATACTAAGAGACGACAAGTGTTAGGACACAAATTGAATGAAGTGACACAGACTAACAAGCAAGAAGTCTTTTATTCATCATCAAAACAGCAATAAATCAGGTGGAACAGCAGTCGTCGTCCTGTCCTGTTTCTTTCATCACATTTTTGCAGGCCTGCAGAAACAAAGCATGTGCTCTTTACCCATTTCGCGTTTCACGTCAATCTAACGATTTGCAGCACTGTCGTGACTCTTTGGTCATAGTTACAGGAAGCGGAATTTCTTTTTTTTTTCTAGGAACAGGCCAAAATCAATGTGCGCGCGGACGTCATCCATAAAATTTACTTGGTGTGGCCTAACAATCATTCGGAATACTGATAAGCATATATTAAGCAACTGTGTTTTTTGCCTGATACAAATTTAGAATAAAAGCAGATCTCACAAAAGGAAGGACAACTTTTGAGACAAATATTCTTTATTGCCTACATAAAAGTATTGCAACATCGGAGTGCTTCATAGCATGTTTAACATAATGTTATAAGACAACACACATACGTACATGGCTAAGATGACAAAATCTTTTCATCAATTTCTTCACCAATAAAAGTAAGTTTTCAATAAATCCTTTTTATAAAACACATCAAAATTTACAACTGTTGTCACAAACCTGATATACAAAACACACAATATTTACAAATATATGTCTTCATATTTTAGCATGCACAATGCTTAATATGACAGTCGTCAGTCATTTACAATAAATTTTAATTTTTATTGATTTTATGCACAATTCTTCACAATAAAAGTTTTGTTTTATTTTACACACAAATCTAATATGTGACTAAGGGTGATGAAAAAATATATATATGGACTTTTCTTTCTTAAAATACTCCATAGTGCAGTTTATAAACATTTTAAAAAGATCACACACACAAAACAACAAAACAGCGAAAAATTATACTCTGGTAACCAAACAAAATACAATTTACAAGTAACTTGAAAGACAACACTAATCTTATTTTCTTTCTTGTGTTTTTTTCTTATTTCTGTTCTACGATGGATTATAATGCAGAGCAGAGAAAATGCATGGTTAGGCCACACCAATTTAATTTCTTGGTTAACGGACTTTTTTAGAAAAATAATAATAAAATTAATGGAGCGGGCGGGCAAAAAATAAATAAAAATAAAAACAGGCCTAGGCATCCTATTATGGCCCAAAATGGTACGATAGGAGCCATGAAGTCAACACACCAGGCTGGTTCAAAATGTAAACAATGAATTTTGAACTTTTAATGATACCATTGCATTGAAAGATGGAATAACTGTAACAACTAGGAAGAAAAGGACTTTTTTCAACTGTTCAGGGCAAAATATGAGCATTTTGCAGTTGACTCTGAGTTTTTATTTCTATTTTCAGCTCAGAAAAAATGAAGCCGGCGAATCCGTTAACCAAGAAATTAAATTGGTGTGGCCTTAAGGGCATCCAATGCAATTTTGGGGCAGCAAAACAAAAATATTCAGGAAGAGGAAATCTGTCTGATATTGACGTTTACTGCCATTTCTTAACACATTTTCGTCATAATTTCATACTCGAAACATTTGATCATGAGGCATGTGCACAATCTACATGAGGGGTCTCTTTATTATTTTGGGTACCACCCATAAATACATGTGTGTAGCTAGGACTAGACTACGATTCAAACAAGCAACCATTTTCAGCGACATCACATTTTTGCCTCACAGATATCGATATGCCATGGGATAGGGTTGATTCAACTTGCTACATTAAAAGAATGACCAGAAAATTTGATTTTGAAAATTAAGTTTTGCTGCCCCGAAATTGCATTGGAAGACTTTAAAGTTCTGCAAGGAAAAAAATCATGGCCAAACATCCATGTACAAAAAAATACATTTGCAAAATTAACAAATCATTTTACAGAAAGCACACACAGGTTATTCACGTTTAGGCCATACCAATCTAATTTGTTGGTTCTCCGATTTTTTTTCCAAAAAGTATGAAAAAGCCCCCAAAGCTACATTAGGAACCATGAAATCAATCATATATCATCATCATATATAATATCTAATTCAAACAATGAATTTTGAACTTTTGCATTGATAGATGAAAAAAAAAACTGCAACAGCAATGTAAACAAGGACTTTCTTCAACTGTTGGGGGCAAAATATGACCATTTTGGAGTTAATTCAGAACCTAAAAACTTTGAAGCAGGCAATTTCAAGAACCAGTTACTTAGATTGGTGTGGCCTTATCACATTTATATCTGGACGGAAGTGATGACATTCTTATAATAATTATTTCTTCTTGCCACCTTTGGTGATGTTCCTCTCGGCCTTTCCGAGCGACACCTGTCTGGCGTTGGAGCCGAAGGTGAGGGTACTGATGGTCTCTGACACGTTCTTCTCATCAGGACTCACCATCACAAACAGACAGGCCTGCAAAACACAACAACACATCTTTCTTAACCATGGAAGTTCATCTGTGTCAGTAGTAATCACACTGCGATGCTGAACTTTATTTCAGCATAGGATCAAATTTTCGTCTCTAGTGAATAGGTAACGTGTCCGTAACTTTCGTGGGTTATGTTCGAAAGTGACTGATCATTACTTATCCTGATGAAGGTGGCAATGGTAGCCTTGTGTTGGAATAAAGTTCAGCATTGTAATACATAATGCCTCTTCTAATTCTTTCTTTCTTTACATCTGCACAGAAATCAGCAAGAACTAACAATAATATATATATTGCTTTCGACACGGGACCTCCATTTAACGTCCTATCCGAGGGACGTCCTTAACTAAAGCTAGGTACTCATTTTACACAAGCGAGGAAAGTTTTGTAAAGTGCCTTTTCCAAAGGCACAACGTTATAACATTGGGCATGTCAGGGAATCGAACCAAGGACCTCTTGTTTTGGAGCCAAACACACAGACCATTACACACATGAAGCCACACTCATTGGTTCAACGAAAGCATTTACCCTTTCCCTGTAACAGCATTTTGACACCAAACATGTATTGGTTAGAAGATAAGATACTGGTAGTGCTTAGATGTTTCACATTGTCACAACTTTGACAGTATCTATATCAGAAAACCTCCAGACTGACAAAAGATGATCCTGATAAATGAGATATCAGTAAAGCAATGACAGCAGTACCAGTGCAGATAGCATGCACACTATCTCTAATCTAAGAGGAAAGGAGGGAAAATGAGCATGTCAACAAAACATACTGCGCCTGCACAAATCCCGTTTTTTCTAGGTTTTCGTTGAATGTTTGAATGGTCGATATGCCCCTTGCAGATGATATCTTTTCGAAACGTTCTGCCAAAGTACTATGCACAATTATGGGTTTTGTGCAGGCACAGTTTGTTCTGCTGACATGCTCAGGAAAAAGTATAGTGTGCAGTTGCAATGTGATCATGTAATGTTGTTTCTTAGTTCTGGTGAAACACAATGATCTGAGTCTCAGAGAATGACTGTTAATAAATATGTGAGCTGTGTATTTTCTTGTTTAACCAAACATGATCATGTTTAGTGCACTTCTGAACAAATCTGGAGATATTGATTTATTTGTTTGGCTGATGAAGATAATCGGAGAGTGCTCAACTGGGTAACCACTTAGGGACTACGATATTTACCGGGGAGGGGGGGCCGGTCGTCCGGGGGTAGCGTAAAAAAAATTTTTCCTAGGCCCTCCCCCAGGTCAAAAAAATTTTTCCTAGGCCCTCCCCCCGGCTCAAAAAATTTTTCCTAGGCCCTCCCCCCGGCGTGAATCATAGAGAGTGAAATTTCGTATGGGGATGACGAGATTTTGATTGAAAATTTTCCCCACATGAAGCGCCGAAGGCGCGAGCTATCGCGCCGCAGGCGCCACTAGAGCCCGAGTAGGCCCGGCTTTTTTTGGGGGGGGGGATGTCCCCCCGGAAAAATTTTGAAATTCAACCCATGTTTTGCATGTTGAGGGGCAAATTTGGCAGCACAAATTTCGCTGGTACGTCGAACTATAAATTTAAAGTCAGTAACGTTACGGTCAGTCAGTGTAATCGAAATAATCCTCTATCTAGCATACCTTTCGTCCGCGTCTTCCGCGTCAATTTTATTACAAACAGGGGAACAATATTGCCAAGTTACGTGTTGTTTTCAATTAACTTTGGAGGGACATAGATATAAATGTTAAAATAGTCCTTGGTTTAATAAAAATACCAAATTAATCCGTCGACATCCGACATCCACGCCGAGAAGTTCGAGCGAGCTGCGAGGCGGGACCAGCGGGGCCTTTGCCGACGCACGCACGCACACCACTGGGAAGGGTGCGTTGAACGGCGAAAATTAATTTTCAAAATCTTCAGACAAGCCTTCCCTACATTTTTGATCGGTATCGTTTCGAATGTCGTTTACGCGATTTTAATCCATGTAATTTGGCTGTGTAGTCCAGTTTCGCCGATTCTGGCGAAGATGCAAGATTTTGAAGGGGACTGTGGGAGATTTGGGCGAATACATTATAATAATAGGGATGGATATTATTGGAAAGTAAAATTTTGCCGATTCTTATGACCTGCAAATCGCTACGATATGTATGGACAGACGTTTAATCATGTTTTGAACGTGTATAAAAACGTTGTAAAGTTAAAGGGACCTTGGAAAAATTTTTTACCTAGGCCCTCCCCCAAATTTAAATATTTTTTCCTAGGCCCTTCCCCCGGCTCAAATTTTTTTTCCTAGGCCCTCCCCCCTCAGACGACCGGCCCTCCCCCCCCCCGGTAAATATCGTACAGTCCCTTAGTAACCGGGAGGTCGTGAGTTCAAACCCGGCCGGATCATTCACGAGTTGCACATTCCCAGGATCCTTTGCGCCCAGGGTAGGTCACATGGGCGTCAGGGTAGGGAAAGGTCGCAGTAAACCACGTGACTCATCCTCGGCTCTGGTCGGAAGAAGTCGGAAGTGTTCGCGAGCGCTCGGAAATTTAAAAAATGGCTGACACCACTGCCGGCGGCGGGAGGTACGTAGTTTTTCACGGCGTTCGTACGGCGTTCGTACGGCAAAGCGGCATCGAATTTTTGCTCCATGACTATCGGTATGGGATAGGATAGGGTTGATTCAACACACTACGTGAAAATGTGAATGCTCCCAGCCTACTATCGGCCAGATATCGCTTAGGGCACCTTCTTCCGACCAGAGCCGAGGATGAGTCACGTGGTTTACCGAGACCTTTCCCTACCCTGACGCCCACGTGACCTACCCTGGGCGCAAAGGATCCTGGGAATGTGCAACTCGTGAATACCAAAGACTTTAAAAATGTTACATATTGCTTTCTCTGCTGATCAGCATCTATGGGAAAGTGTATGGGAAGGTCAAACATATAACACTACCACCATGCAGGCTAGCCACCTGCTGTAGTAAATGCACAACTGTGTGGCCCAAGGGCTACAAAAATGGAGATGGGCACCACTCCTAAGCTCTGCACAGAGTGGAACGGGACCCATTTTATTTAAGATAGAAAAATTTTGAGATATTGTGTACTATATATACTACCATCTAAATTTTATACTTTAAATTGCCTATTTGGATCTTGAGAAATTTCTCTGGTACCTTGGGGGATTAAAATTACAAGTAACACTTGCTCATTTCTGCCGCTCTCATGGACTGAAAGTAACTCAGCTTTCCTAATCTTGTTTCTCAATTTAAGTGGCTGGATGGAACAGTTATTACCAGACAAACCCCATAAGGACCCAGCAAAGGCAATGAATATTAATATAGAAACTACACCTGAGTATTAAATCTCACTCTAACAGGGCTCGAAATTCATTTTTGGGACCTAAAAAATTAGGTGCACAAAATTTTTTGGGGTGCACCATATGAAACAAAACCTAATTGCAGGTCTTACTGCTGCTCTTCTGAGCTAACTTCAAAATCTGAAACAAGTACTACAACAAAGATTTTATTATTAATTTTTCTAATACTTAGAGACCAAGAATATCCAGTATACTATATAATTATACATTTCTAAATGCTAAAAATTCGTACTCATGCACCCACAAACAAAAATTAGGTGCACAACTCCAATTTTGGGTGCACTATGGTATTTCGAGCCCTGCTCTAAGTAATCAAATATACATAGTACATGGTCCCTTCGGTTCAGAATTGTTTTTACTAATAGGCATCCTTTTCCTATTCAGAATCAACTGCAAAATGCTCATATTTTGCCCTGAACAGTTGAAAACAGTCCTTTTCTTCCTAGTTGTTACAGTTATTCCATCTTTCAATGCAGTGGTATCATCAAAAGTTCACAATTCATTGTTTAAATTTTGAACCAGCCTGGTGTGTTGACTTCATGGCTCCTATCGTACCATTTTAGGCCATAATACATGTAGGATGCCTAGGCCTGTTTTTATGTTTAGTTTTTTTTTTGCCCGCCTGCTCCATTATTTTTCTAGAAAAATCTGTTGACCAAGTAATTAAATTGGTGTGGCCTAAGGACCCAGAGAAGGCAATGAATATCAACGTAGAAACTACACCTGAGTATCAAATCCCACTCTAAGTAATCACCTATATACATACAATGTAGTACATGGTCCCTTCGGTGCAGAATTGTTTTTACTAATGGGCAGAATTCTTTTCCTTTTAGGTAGTTTGTTTCCTGTTTCTATTAGGAAACACTGTCTCTAGGTTGTGCTTAATTTCAATTAGATGATAGTTACCAGTGGAAGTTAATATAGGAATCCTGACTGACATATGCTATTAATAATAATATACATTGTGTATATAATTGTGCAATAATGTACTGTAATTCTTCTAAAACAATTTTATTTTAATCAATAAATTATTGGTTCCTGGATTCACCTGCTTCGTTTATTTTATTTGAAAAGAAAAAATTCAGATTCTGGATCAACTCGAAAATGCTCGTCATATTTTGGCCCCTGCTGTTAAGGAAAGTCCTTGTCTTTATAATTTTGCTCGTTTTTCTACCTAACAATGCAGTGGTTTGATTCAAACACTCAAAATCCATTGTTTGAATTACAAACTAGCCTGGAATGTTGACTTATTCCTACTATTGTAACATTTGGGGCTACTGTAGGATGCCTAGGCTGTTTTTTTTCCCTGTCGCTTCATGTTTTTTCTGAAAAAATCAGAGAACCAACTAATCAAATTGTTCTGGCCTAAGTGAAGCATAAAAATTGTTTCACACGAAACAGACTAAATTGTCACCTATAATGCACTGCCACATCGATTTGTACAATGTATATGTCACATACTTCCCCCTATTCCATCTTAGTATAATTGAGATTTATCTGGTATAATGTAAGAGAGATAAAACCAGTAACAGTTACTGTTCTCTTAGATTAAAAGAACGGCAACCTCAGTTGCAACATTAAAAACGTATTGAGAAGAACCGCTGTAGTATGAATACTGTAACCAAACTTTATGGATTTCTTTCCCCTATCGCATTAGATTTGGAGTCTGCGGAGGATGTCATCCATAAAATTTACTTGCCATGCCTGTGTCTGCTGTGGCCTATTACTTGGCACCACAACTGCTACAACTTTCCCATGTAAACCGGCGGAAACTACTGAGATGTCATCCATAAAACTTACTTGCCATGTCCTAAAGAATTACTCTCAGTAGATCTGCCTCATTGTAAAACCTCACCACAACTGCCACAACTTTTCCACCTAATCCCTATTAACTACCACCACCTGAGACACCAGTGAGAACAGGCGAACACAAAGGACCCAGTACCCCTGAACAGATTGATCACCCAGCTTATTCTCCTGCCTTTGACACTGTCTTAAAGAACCCTTGCAGAACAACACCCAAGAGAACATTTAGGTGTCAAGTTGAAGATCTTTTATGCCTGGATACTTTGAGTAACAGCATCAAGTGCAATCCGTGGGTGTTTAACTGTAACAAATCACAGTTGATTTAAACCTGAAGTACATGTACTTAATGTGTTCACTGCCGCCTCGTTGAATATTCCACATTTTCAAGATTAAAAGTCGGAAAGATTACAGTATTTTTAATGTGATACGACACTGAACAGGGTTCAAAATACTGGGTGCATGTGCACCTTAGTGCACCCAAATTTGGAGCTATTTTTTTATTGAACATTTTAGTAAGCATAAATTTATTTTTATTTTATTTTTTTATTTTATGACGATTTACCACATTTGTGGAAGGATTGACATAACAGGTGACTATCACCTTTTCAAAGATGTCAACCATGAGACCAGACTGTAAGGTTTGAACCACTCACACCGGGAAAGGTCCCCTACTCTTTTCGATAAGTGCGGTGGGTTCTTTAACGTGCGTGGGGTGTGGCTCTCGTCCTATCCGAGGGACGTCCCTAGCCGAAGCTAGGTACTCATTTACACCTGAGTGAAGTGAGGAAAGTCGTGTAAAGTGCCTTTCCCAAGGGCACAAGATCGATGACATGGGCAGGGTTCGAACCCACGACCTCTCTGGTGTGAGCCGAACGCGCTACCGACTGCGCCACACGACCCCACAAATACAGCAGAAGACATGTTAATATGTCATTGTGACTGTTCTATTGTTCTCTATGATTGTTCTAAATATCCTTGGGGTACACATTAATCTCTAAATGTAATCCTGAAAAGTCATTAAATAGGCAAATGTACCAAGCCCTTATGATATCAAACATTTTACATGTATTCATCAATGATACAATTGCCTACTAGTAGGAGGTAAGGAAAATGAATGCATACATGAGTGTAGTGTTTATGATTTCTAACATGATTATGAAAATCATATGATATGATGAATAATCCTGTAATAATTACATTTACAACTCATACACAAGTGGCTGTAAACAACACAACAGCTACTCAATCAGCAATTTTCGAATTCCGTAACGAGCCAAAAAGTTCCTGAAATTGATGAGAAAACGGGTGCTGGCTAATGCCCAGGAGCGTGATATTACAATGTGGGTTTGTGTGGCGTATCAGTAGTGTGTTCGGCTCAGGACCAAGAGGTCCCAGGTTCGAATCCTACCCTTGTCACAGATCTTGTTCCCTTGGGAAAGGCAATTTACACGACTTTCCTCACTTCACTCAGGTGGAAATTAGTACCTAGCTTTGGTTAGGGACGTCCCTCGGATAGGACGATAAATGGAGGTCCCGTGTTTGAAAGAGCCACACCGCATGCACCTTAAAAAAACCAACGCACTTATCGAAAAGAGTAGGGGACCTTCAAATTCCCGGTGTGAGTGATTCAAACCTTATAGTCCGGTCTTACGCAGCTTGTACAAGTGCGTACATGTACATAACTGGTGTGTTACGCCTAAAGGCGGTTTACCGGTTATGCGAAACAAACAAAACAAAATTGGTGTTACGCATAAAGGTGGTTTTCCTGTTTAATATGCGAAACAAACAAACAACATAATAGCTGCTACAAACCTTTGCATCCCCTCCCAGTGCAGGTTGCAGCAGATGAGTGAGTTTGGAGTTCCTGTAAGGCACATGGAGGGCATTGGTCCGTAGGGACTGAAACACCTGGGGAGGGACAACAGAGAAGAAGGGGAGGTGTAATTACAGTATGTTTTATATAGTTTACATAGTATATCACTACTACATGTAGCAGGGCTCAATTCAATTTCAATTTATTTATTTAACCAGTAATTACAGCTCAGGCCATTTTGGCCTAATTTTCAACACATAAAAATACACAATAATAATAATACACAAATAAAAGTACATCACTTTTTTAATCCGTATATTACATGTAAATATGTTTGTAATCACGTCTATTCGAATTGTAATTGTCCTGACGCAATTCAGCCATTTTGGCTGCAATGTTTGTGACAATGTTATTGAAATAAACCATTGATAATATATAATATATTATATATATACATGTATGTCCTGGGTCCAATTTCGCTGCATTTCCAACATGGTGGTCTTCTTTACTTATATGAAATCCATAGGGAAAATATTTTTCCATTTCAACATCAAAATCAAGTCTCACAATTGCATCCATTACACAAAGGAATACGCAGCTACATGTAGATACTGTAAATCACTTTATGTTTGCAGTAGCAAAATTTCGCTGTCTGAGAAAAATGGACATTTTCGCAGAACTAATTACGTTTGCGGTGGTGGCAGGTGCAGCAAAAAGAAAGTCGGTGTATTATAAGTTTGAGGTAAAGAAATGACAAAGCAAAAACCATGAATATAACAGTACACTAACTGCGAAAAAATCGTGAATTATGCTATGCATAGTGTCCCGGAAATATTGCAGGAGGTGGGATAAGGCCACACCAATTTAATTTGTTGGTTCTCTGATTTTTTCAGAAAAAATATGAAACGACAGTGCGAAAAAATTAAAATAAAAACATGTCTAGGAATCCTATTATAGCCCCAAATGGTACAATAGGAGCAATGAGGTTAACACAAAAGGCTGGGCTAATATTCAAACCATAAATTTTGAACTTTTAATCAAACCACTGCATCAATAGATGGAAAAACTGTAACAACTAAGGAAGAAAAGGACTTTCTTCAACTATTGGGGGCAAAATATGAACATTTTTAGTTAATTCAGAACTAAAATCTTTTTTTTTCTGCAAATCCGAGAACCGACAAATTAAATTGTTGTGGCCTAAGATATTGAAATAAACGCCCACTCCTGTATAAAGGATTATGTTTGATAAACAACAAAATGAAGCTGGTGACCTTGAAAAGGTGTAACTATAACGCCCTGGTCCTTTGGGCACTTCAAAGTACAGAGTGCTACCTCGCAGATAAGCATTACATAGCTCCAAGCAGTTTCTTGCAAAAATTGTTTTTTTCAAGCTGTTTATCTAAGTGGTCTACCCTGAGGACCAGCTTTCAGATCCTTTCAGTGTAAAAAGGACTGTGAATCAGAAAAGGTGGTGGCTGACCTTGGAAAGCTGTTCAAAATGGATTTTGAAATACAGAAGCCGGCATTATTTGTCATACAGCTGACCATAAATCATTTTGTAACTGCATGGTGAGAAGCGATTGTTCATAGTTTTTGCTAGTTATGACTCTAATGCAATTTTAGGGCAGCAAAACAAAAATATTCTGGATGAGGAAATCTGTCTGATATTGACATTTACTGCCATTTCTTAGCAAATGTTACATTTCTGTGCTAAGTCTCTATCTACAGGATCTATCTACAAGATCTCTTCTCTCTTTTTGAAACATGTGTGGACAAATTTAGATCATAGTTTTTCATTTACATTGTAGTGCTTGGATGTCATAATATGTTTGAACAATTCTATTTTTGGTAAGTTATTTGGGGAAGTCTGGTTGTACATAGTACCTACCGATTTTGATCTGGAATTGGTGATCACTAATCCTTAATTTTGCACATTTAAATATTGTTACTGTAACTACAGTTCTTTTTCATATGCAAGCTAAATTGTTTTGTAAAGTAACTTATTTCCTTGTTTTCCATTTTTGCTACACTTGGAGTTTGTTTTTGAGTAGAAATATTGAAGAAAATTGTCTTTTAGTCTTTGTTTTAGTTCAGATCAGGTTTCTATTCACTACATTGAACCCACCTGTCCGAGTGCTGTGAGAGATTTATTAATAGCTGCAGCCTCCACCAGTCTCTGTCCAGTGGCTTCAGTTTTAGAGATCCTCTCTGACCCGGCCAGGTCCACCAACATCAGGGTACCGAAGGACGTGGTGCTGGAGATCTTATCATGTCCCTCCACGGTCAGCATCAGCAGCAGGTGAGATCTAGAACTGCAAAACAGAATAATAGACAAATTAACTAGAAGGTAACATTTGCAAAGCAAATGCATAATTAAAATGTTTGCCCTCACATGGTCCAGCCTTGCTGTCTTATTCTGAGTCAACACATCCATACATGTTGTGACACAAGTCCAACTGTGACACAAGTCCAACTCTGTCCTGCAACTTGCAACATAATGTAACCCAATACCACAGGGTGTCTGCTACAGCACCAGTTACCATGGTAACAGACGTCTGGCCCAGGTCATTGACCTTATGTGTTTGGAACAGAAGAAGAAACAGAGCAAAAAGAATATGTTTTCCTTCTGCAAAGTAAACATTTTGTGAAATGTCATGATGCCATAGTGCTGAATGGTGAGGATTTTATACTTGTGACACTCGAAAAAATTAGGTAAGAGACAAGAACATCAGTCATAAATTATGCAAATCAGGGTCTTATTTCCATAATATATGAGAAAGTGCTAGAATTGCTGTCTGAAGATCATTTGTCAAAGGTATGACATAGTGGAACTCTAGTTTATACAATGTGGGTGTATGTGGATTTGGATTTGCTGCATTGACTGTTACCAATTGAAACTAAGTATAAAATAATGGCAAGCAATGCATGGTTCCTGAACAATTTTTCAGTATGATCCAGTCTGAGTGGCGCAGATCAAATTTGGCAGGTACAGGTAATTTTCAATGATACTAATGCACTTGCATACTTGTAGTATGAGTAGATTGTGTCAAAAGAGCAAGTTTTAACATCTTTCATCAATCATATTAGTCATATTAGATGTAAAGACGTGAATCATCTTAATAATCAATATTGATCCAGACAAACAATCTCTGTTCTAATGAGAATAAGTATATGATCAATCATTATGACAGAAAAACAACAACACTATAATCATATTACATTATGGAGTTCAAATCTAAAAATACCACCATCCATCTTCCACAATGACAACATAACTAAAAGGTGTCAAAAACATCCTTACGGTAGCCAGAATAATAAAAAAAGTACTATACGCATTCCCTGAAAACCCTGCAGGCATTTTCAGCACTATTTTAAAGTTTGTCCTAAGGCCACACCAATTTAATTTGTTGGTTCTCGGATTTTTTCAGAAAAAATATGAAGCGACAGGGCGAAAAAAATAAAAAATAAAAACAGGTCTATAGCATCCTATTATAGGCTTAAATGCTACAAAATGAGCCATGAAGTCAACACAAAAGGCTGGGTTAAAATTTAAACATTGAATTTTGAACTTTTAATCAAACCACTGCAATGATAGATGGGAAAACTGTAACAACTAGGAAGAAAAGGACTTTCCTCAACTGTTGGGGGGCAAAACATGTCTTTTTTGAGCATTTTTCAGTTGATTCAGGACCAGAATCAATTTTTT